CTCGAGACGAGCGTCGGTCGACGAGTGAGACCGGCCCAGCTCTCCCAAAGCCTGTGTGACCTGCCCCAGCAGGTCGCGTGTGGTGGATACCTGAGGGCACGAGAGGTGACGTCACATGCACAACGTCTGCCGAGCGCATCTCACCGGTCACCATCACCGGTCACACCGGTCACCGGGGTTCTAGAACATCAGGCGGCAACTGGCTGCTGCCCGAGGTCATGGGAGGTCAGCCATATAAAACGCATAATATCGCATTCATAAAAATATGCATTCACGCACAAACCTTACCTGAACGAGTGAAGCGTTATTCGAGTAAGTAAATCACCATTTTCTCCCCCAATCGACTGTAAGTGTCAAATATTTTTGGGGAGGAAACATTTTATAAATGGCTGTTTATGAACTACGCACTTGCGGCCTGTTGCTTACACTGCCAGTCACCTGCACGCAATACAAAAACCTGATCGCTAGCCATAAGCGCTTGGAGCTCCCTAGCACTGTAAATGTTGCTGCGCAGTATCGCAAAAAATGAGGCAATTTACAAAACCAAAATCCCCTACTTGGCTGCCTGAAAGTGCCGGTAGCCGGTAAATGCAGAGAATGTTGCTGTCTGTGTATCGTAAAGCCGCAATTCGCTGCAAGCTCGGAAAGAACAAGAATTAGGCATATTTTGCGGAAAGAGGCCGGCGTGCAATTGCACGTGCAAGAAGAGACAAGCGTTCGCGACGGGCTTGCGCCCGGGGTTAAAATCTACGTTCTTCTCAGGATGGAGCAGTTAAAATTTCGAAATGCGTTCATACGCGTGTTGCAATAAAACGATTCGCACAAACCCTGCCAATTAAATAACGTTTGAAAAGCGCCTTCATGCCGGCAGGCACGAACCCATGCGAAGAGGGATGTCCCTGTCTTAAATCGGATGGGGTGCTGAGCCCGAAAGGTTCTCGTAACCTATCGCCCAAACCTGATTTATCTTTTGATTTCGATTATTTTAAGCTGAATCCACATGATCAAATAAACAAAACATTCACTCGATAACACCATCGTTTCACTGATGAGGAATGACTTTTTACTCCAGGCTAATGTGGAGCTGCGATTAATGAGAAGCTTAGAATGGGTGCAATTTACAGAAAAACATACCTAAGTAGATCGACTGGGAACGCGTAAAAACTGTCCTTTTTTGTTTATGAAAGGCAGCCCGAGACGCAAAAAGACGATTCACGTAGAACGTCGTGGTCTGACACGTATATACGAAAGGCTACTAAAAATGTGTCAGGTACACTGCTAGGATGTACCCTTGCATAAAAGTAAACTGACCTTGCACGACCTTCTCAAGACTTACGCCAGTAATTGAAATGACAGGACATGGTGGATGTGGGCTGGGGACTGGACGAGTCACCAGGATGTCCGTGTTAGGAAAAGCATGGTCAGCGCTTGACAAGTGTTGGAAGCTTGGCTGGCATGGTATCCCTCTTTCGCTGTCCTGCCCACGTCCGTGGACAATCTCACACTGCTTAATGTTTTTGGTGCAAATGATCTCAGCGCAAATCACTTAACCTCGAGCTCAAACCTACCGCAAACCCTTCTCAGATGTCAAGCTCTCATGGGGGCAAAGATCTCAAGAGAGCCAAATAGTCCCCCTTCGGACAAAAGAAAGCCGGGCGGGAGTAGGAGTCAGCCCTTTATATTCACTGAATACGATTTTCCGGAAATGTAAACTGCGTAGGAGACTAAGCAGTTCGCATATCTCTTGTTTTTCCTTTTCCTGTTCCTGTTTCTTTTCCTGCTGAAGTTCCTGCAGTTTGATAGAATTTTCCAAACAAACTGAGCCTGGGTAGCCTGCCAAATTGTGCGTAGCAACGGGGTCAATGATTTACACCATGCTGATTACGATCCTACGTATTGGCAGACGTCGCAGAAAACCACGTCTTGCCTGGGCTGTTTAAAGTTTCCCGAGTCTGCAGCAATGTGAAGTCCAAACACCCTCGCTCGTACGAGCTTCAGCTGATAAGATATTTGATACTACCCAATGCTGAGCAGTTTCAAACATGTAGAAGATACCAGCATGACACTCTGCCGGTCGGACGAACGACGAGCGATTCCATAACAGATGTGAGGTTCGCCAGTCTTATGACGTGGATGTCCGAAACTGAGCTTATGGAGCCGGCTGCCTTTGGCAGTCAATGCTGATGTGTTTCACCAATCCGTCGGGCATCCCACTGTTTATATAGCTACCGCCGCGCAGTCCGAGTCAGAAAGTCAGTTGCTGGACCATGGCTTTTCTCATAGCTTGGGCGAAATAACTGATCAATTGTGTATTTTTCTTAATGCGTTTATAATGCAGCGTCTTATTCAAGATATGTAGGAAATAAGGCATACAGATTTGGGAAGTATATGACTTCATAAAGACATCCAGTAACAGCTATGTGCATAGGCTAAGAACGTTTCAAAAAGTGTGGGACCAGAGTCAGCGCATATTTTTACTGGGAAGCAGGCCCGGTGACTGGGGGGAGGGGGTAAAGATGGAGGACATCGCTGCCCCCTTGAAAAAGGAGGAGGGCCATGGCTCTCTATCCCCCATCCCCCTCCGTTCCCACATCTATGGCTATATGAACCTAAAGTGAACTGTTGAGCGTACGCTGTGACGTTGACCTGTTCAATTGACTGCCTGAATGTAATTCAACTTTCGGGTTCAAGTATTTTGATGCGCTATCGTTAGTTCATTTTACTGGTAAAAAGTATCTTGATACGCTATTGTTTGCTCATTCCACTGGTAAAATTGGCACGCAAGAAACCAGAGTATAGTAGAAGAGATGATGTTCCTTAACGGTGCAGTATATGTTAAGAAAATCAAAATATTCGTGCCACTGCCCAGCACTTTATTGGCATCCCTTTGGTGACCTACTGTATGGTGTTGACGTCTATGAAATGGGGTCCTCCTCCACGCACTGACAAAACCTGTTGGTGTTGGCTGTCGGAGATGTCAGGCCTTACTAGTTCAGCTTCTAGCATCATCTCGATAACGAAGCAACGAATTTCACGTCTGATATCACCTCACTCACCTCACACCGCATTTTGCCTTGCTGGTCATTAAAATTCAAGCATGCGTGGCATCATGCCAACATCCAGAGCGTACCACTGTGCTGCATATCGCGGACATCGTAACTCAAACATGCCAAGAAACCACCTTCCATTTTTGTTAAATCCTAAGTCTGAGCACACACTGCCTCCAGGTCACAAGACCGCGCTTCCGCGTCACTGGGACAACTGCCGTTTTAGGCTCTCATTAGCATTACCGAACAAGACGCATCCAAGTCCAGGAAAAAAAAGCTGAAGCAGAAGCTTGGTACGCTGGTGTAACCGTAAATAGCGTGACTTAAAATTTCAGTTGTGAAGAGGCAACGTCAAATCAAATGGTAACGTTTCGTGATAATTGGCTTCAAAGCTTTCATGAACTGAGCTGAGAGTGTGCAAATACCTGGTACTTGGCCAAATTGAGAATCTTCGGCATGCCGTATGGGAGCTAGTTTCCTTTTTCCGCGCGATATTTTTAGAAGCGTATATCTCTCACTAAAGAGCGCAAAGTAACTTCATTGCGCCTTCATCATTCGGCAGGTCCGGTAAGTTACGAGAACCGAATCTTTTACAAGCAAAATCATTTGACATTCGGCCACATTGGTGACCTTTCATGCTATTAAGATCACCATTTGTCAAATACTCGTCGGAACCACGCGCGACGCATCGTATCTCGATCAGCTTTCGTTCTCATCGACTTCAAGAGTTCCGTAAACTGAAAATCCTTCCTCACGTACTCCGGTCTTCTCCCTCTCCCCCTCCCCTGCTTTTCGGCGTACCTCCGAGCGGACGCGCTGCTTGCCATCGGGTGGTCCGGTTCAGCCGCTGTCGTAGCGCCGTCGCGGCGGCGGCCACGGCGGCCTCATCTCCGCGGGCCTCCCGGGAGCGGGTGGTCAGACGGGCGGCGGCGGTGCCGATCTGCGGCACACGTGACGCACGTCCTGCCTGAGAGACCGGCCGACACTGGCCAGCCGACCATCGAGTAAACAGGCCGGTGGGCCCCGGTCGGTCGGCCGGCGCCGCCGCGGCCAGCGTGTGGGAATGGCCGCCTCGGCACAGCCGGCCGGTGCTAAGTGAGGCTGGGACCGACAGTCGGGGCGAGCGCCCGGGGAGGTGACGCCCGGATCGGCGCCCAACGCTGCCGGAGACTCGGAGGCAGAACCGATAGACGGATCGAACCAGCGACATCAGTGGGACCACGGGCACCAAGGCCAACTACTGGGATTATTTGTCGGATCTGCGGCGAGGAGAAGCGGCTGATGGGACCTGACAGGACAGGCAATGTAGGGCCGGGTTTCGTAGAGTTGGTTGCGTCTTAAAAGGCGAAAAAACGAAACGTTAGTGACACGCATCAGAAAAGGTCCAAACAGGCGCTCCGGCGGCCCGCACGTCCGCACTTTTAAAACTGCTCGGCCCAGTTCACAACCCGAGTTTGCGGTTGATGTGAGTCGCTCAGAGCGAGCCGAAGGGCCACCAGAGCTTCCACAGTGATGCAGATGGTGTTGCGTTCCAGACGCCATGTTTCAGATTGCATTGTTTCTCCACACGTAAGGACCGAGGTTTGCGGTGGACCGCCCCTTGCAGTCTTGTTGGCGGCACCGACGGATTCAAGATAAACATTGACATGCGACAATCGCATAAGCAGTTCAGGACAAACATCTGTAAAGGCTACAGGAAAACGCATTTCCCTCCACAGTGCTGAGCCCCAACCCACCAGGCAAGACCCTATCTCTCTTGTCACAGCCAGGACATCTCAGACGCAGTGGCAGGAGACCGCGGCTCCCCAGCCCACCTGATCGGCCAGGGACGCCGTCTTCTCCGACTGTGCGGCGGCCACTAGCGCGGCGGCGGCGCTGGCAGCGGCCGACGCCTTCTCCGCCGTCCCCTCGGCCTCCTCCAGCAGCGTGCTGGTGGCCGGCAGGCGGGCGCGCGCCGCCGCCGCCTCGGCGCTGCCCCGCGCCACCCGCTCCTCCAAGTCTACGCGGAGTGATCGGCGTCAGCTTTCAGAACCTCGGATCTCGGTCATCAGCATGTTGCGCATGGTGAAGTGTGTTCGGGGCTTTCGGGGCTTGATTCGGTCCGACATGGGTTTACGGGAGGGCTGTCCTGTTTTAAAAGCTCTGCAGAGCTCGTAAAATACCGATGGAGTTCAGTTGCGGGTAACGCGGCGGAACGCGCCATTCATACCAAATGCGCGCGACCGATCATGCGTAGAACTCATTGAGATGGCATCACATGCGCTGGCTACGATGATCAGTGCTTACCGTTCAGGTCCATAGCTGTATCCTTCACCCCCAAAAGAACATCTTCTGCTGTCTCGACGGCTGCCAATGTTGCGGTGTTCGCCCTGTCCGCCCTATTCCAGAGTTCATCTGGAAACTATGCGCAGTTAGGCAAAGCCCGGACTCCCACAAGAACTTAGCCTCACAACAACCCTTTTATAGATGCCGTACTCATGTTATGCTCCGTGTTGATGTCGAACAAACAAGCATGTGCGACATGGAGCATTTTTGCGACAACTAAGAAGGCGTTCTTGACCGCCATGGTGGTGGCATTGGCCAGCGGCCATGACTGAAATATGAGTGAAATCAGCGAATGACTCGCATATGCTCGTACACTCGCAGTGAGTTTCCATCCCCCACTTACCAATATCTCCTCTTGCCAGAGCTGCCCTTTTCAAGTTCGTCTCCGCAAGTGAAGAATTCTTCAATATTTCACCTTCCTTACCTGCGACATTTTTGTAACCTTCGGACAAATTCTTACTCATTAAAGAAATCTGAAAATATGGAGATCGTAACCATTCATTTAGTCTCGTTGATGCATGTGGCACTTGCACAACATGTTACCATTTGGATAGGATAGCAGGGAAAGCCTTTTTCCTCGGAGAAAAGCAGAAGAATGGAGATAGATGCGCTGATATTTCGGTAACATGCATGTATTGAAACAAAGCGGGGAAGTGAATGCAAAATGTTTTATCATAAGTGAATTTTAAATTCATTTCTGCTCTTCGTTTTGATAAATGCACGTTGCCGAAACATCAACGCATCTATATCTCCATTCTACTGGTTTTCGTCCGAGGAATAAGACTATTACTATTGTCCTATCTACGTGCATAATGTTTCTCGCAAATCAACTTAACAACTTATGTTAGCATAAGTTTCTACTTGGGATGCCTTGCGTGCTAAGATAAGATAATTATCGGATATCACCTGTTCGGCGGCGAAGAGTGCCTTTTCCAGAAGGACGCCGGAAGCCCCTGCAGACGATAGATTCAGCGCATGCTGGCGACTTTGCACCGACTTCAGTTGAACGGAGTCCGCTTCTGCTGACGCCTCTGCCGAACCCGCGTGCACTTGCTGCATAAGCAACGTCAGCTCCCCATACGCTTCTCGCAGATCAACTAGATCTGGTCTGTAAAAAGAACGTTGGTCAAGAAGTTCTGTTCGTGCGTGCCTAGGGCGGTGACCAAGCTCACACATTTTGTTTCTTAATTGGTCTAAACCATAGGCAACAATAGCGACGACGGGTTTCGCAGCTCGCACGCACAGCCTACATCCTGTTGGTTTGTGGGGACGAGCTGTTAGAATATTCTAGGTGCTGCAGCGGCGTCGATCCAAATTAGGTCACTTACGAAGATGCCTGCCCGTCTTCGGTCAGCTGGGTGGCTAACATGTTGTACGCTGCAGTTGCTTCGCTTAGCGCAGTCTGGCCAATGGTGGTGAGCGTGTCAGCAGTTTCAACGTGACTGTAGAACAAAAAAAGTCGTTAAAACAACGCCAGTAAAGGGGATGACCGGCATCAGCAGACCCTCATAGCGCACGGTCCATATGGCTAAGAAAAGGTTCCGAGAATTGGCATTTGGGCAGTGGAACTGTGTTGTCAAAGTGGCAATTCGGGAAAAGGGCATGAGCCTGTGGTTAGAGTACTTTTGCGCTCAAGTTCAACGCTGTATGCTGTACGGAAATGAGTGCAGCGAACTTCCATAAAGCAGTGGACGTGGGCGTATATAAAATAGCAATTTAGTACAGATAAAAAGAACGTGTACAAAGTGTATGCGTATCAAAATACAGCCCGGCACAGCACATCTTAACAACGTGGTAGTAATGAAGCACTAGACAGGCATCCCAATCCCTTAAAACGATTTAGCGGGGATCAGATATTGGCGACGTCTCTGGCTGCAGCTCAGGAGTGCGCATACCTGTCGGCCAGAGCAGCTGCCCCACGGCTCAGCGACGTCTCTGGCTGCAGCTCAGGAGTGCGCATACCTGTCGGCCAGAGCAGCTGCCCCACGGCTCAGCGACGTCTCTGGCTGCAGCTCAGGAGAGCGCATACCTGTCGGCTAGAGCAGCTGCCTCGCGGCTCAGTTTTCTCAGGCGGCTGCTTGTTGAGAACAGCTGCTGTCGGTGCTGCCGGGCCCTGTTGAAGGACGTGAATCCCTCCAGCTGAAGATAACTCTGAAGAACCTGAAATTGAGGACTAATTCAACGGACTAGGGCTAAAAGTATGAAGAGACGATCTGATAGATGGTAGTTACGCCAGCGGAGCCTGCAGATAACGCTGGATTGACGTAAACCAACTGACAGCGAAGTAGCGCTAAGTTCATACCTGAGTAGTTCGGTCCACAGAGTTAATTTGCCACTCGGCGTTGACGATGTGACCCTTCTGCTTGCCAGCTACGTGGGTAGCGTTTGAAAGCCGTTCTTCGATATGACCAGCTGTCGTTTGAAGCCAAGATAATTTGAGCGTTGCCTTTGACAGCCAGTGCCTTTTGGTGTTCACGTCTGTAGACAACAGGGTAATGTCGTGATGATTCGCGACGAGAACAGCTTCATAACTTAATTACATTTATTCGTTTGAGCTAATTTCTAATCTTCCAATCTGATGCCATTCCTGGCGCTTGAAAACCTACCGATGCTGTAGGTGGATTGATCCTATATAGACTAGATGCACGCAATCCTTGAGGAACTGTGAGGCTGATGCACATTGAAACTGCTCTAATGATGTCTTTCGTCTTACCCTGCTCACATGCATTCAATATCATACTACGCTGATACTAAAACAGTCCACAATTTAGTGTAAAAAGTATGAAAAGCCTCTGTTTTGCAACATAATGGTTGTTTCGGGTATGTCGTAGGCATATCAGGTGAGTCAGTTTCACAACCTGGCAGATGAGCGCTACACATGGGTTGAGAATATGACATGACAGCTGTGATCAACATATCTAAAACAAGCAAGCAATCAAAAGCCAGCAAGCTCGCATGTTATTCGGTTCATGTGTATGCGGTTTAAATATATGCTGATAAACATCCTTGTTTTACGATTAAATACGAGTTTGCCTTGTTCAGAATGGCCTCTTCTCCCTGGTATTGCAAGTTGTTGACTCTAAAGGCGTACGGAAATAAACATGACGTTCATCCAAGAGATATTGCACTGGGCAGCATACATCATTCTCAGAATCGCATCTTTTTAGGTCAAGGGTGATTTATTCCCGGCTCACGCCCCACATACTCGCGTTTACAGCTCAGATTGCCGCAGTTTTAAATCTCATGCACGGCATGTTCTAATGTTGCACGAATGTTGAGTGTCATCAGACAATGATCGCAGTGTGTCGCCTCTCGTGACAAAACTTTCTAAGTCAAACCATGGCTTCTCCGATACCAATGGCGATCAAATGCCAGACCAGCTCCTTTATGCATGGTTTGGTGCTGTAATCGTAGGAAGCACGTGGCATATGATCTTACCTTTCGCCTGGGAAGCATCTGATACGAATAGATGAATATCAAACGGGCCGATAATGTCAACCTAGTTATGTTGGAAGTCGACCGACCTGACTTTCCTCGCCGACAGATAGACTCCCTCCTGCGCCGAGTATGTTTAGGAGATGGGTCTGTAAACACGAAGTGATTGGGGTACCTACATTCATAGATGCGATTTTACTCCCGGGTCCATGTGCTGTATTTCTTTTTGCCTGTTGTTGACTGTTCATATTGCAGTATTCCTACGAGGTTTTGATGTAAACATGACCCTGCACGGGACACTGGTGGCCAGTGGCTGGTTCAGAGGAGAGGGAGGGAGCACGGGTGCATATCCCCTCACCCCTTCTTCACTGGGCTCCGCAGGGAGCCAATACCGGCCAATCGGATGCAGGCTTTTCAAAGCAAAAGAAACATAGGACGTTTTCTGGCTCCTGGGATAGCAAAACTATACGTCAGCAAATAGAGGGGTCCTTCAGCAGACAGGAACAATGTCAAGCTAAGTAAGAGGGTAGTGGTTCGAAAATTTTAGGGCTCATTACAGACTCATTACAGACGTCCAGGCGCCCTTTATTGATTTTTCAGGAAGCTTTGTTATCAACATGAGCTTCCTAACATTTACATATGAGACACGAAAACAATATGCTAAGACCGCAAGACACGGCGACATAATAGCACATCACCACATCACGCAGCTTCATTACATACATCATTGCAATGTGTTGCAAGTTTTTTCTTTCTCCAATATATTGCAATGCATTACTTCCGCTGATCAGCACCAGCCACGAGCCTTAAAATCACCCGATTCACAGTCAATGACCGCAGCTCAGCATACTTCCACAAAACAGGGTGCATAGCTTATTTCATTGAGCTCTCATTGTTCTGCAGTAAATTGTAAAATAGTTTTGAATTTCTTTAGTGTGCTGGATAAATATTTATAACAGCCATAAACATGTGTACTAGTTTTAAGAAGAGCAAAGCATTTATCCTTATTAAACATCCCGATGGAGTGATAAGAGCATTTCCTAGCTGTGGAAGCTGCCTTTCTAAATTTACTTCCTTGCTCTGATGAATCCCGCGACTGTAGTGGTCGCCTGAAGTTTGTATTTTGTTTACCCATTTGACAAATGTATCCAAAGATTCCCTTGGTATCCGTCTCCCCCTCCCCAAGTGGTATGCATACTGTTTTGTTCCAGTTGAGCTTAACGCCAGACTGCATGGAGAAATCCGCGGGTTTGGCTAAACTCCGCACAGTAAATTATCAACTATCCAGCTAAAAACAATATGTTATCAGGGTATTGACTCATGCAGACCTCTACGTTCGTGATAGTTTGAATGCCAATCATTTGCCAACCACGTTGCGTAGGCAACTGGAAACAGGATCGCCTCGTATTCTTTGGTGCCGGTAACTTGTTTTTCACCACAAAAATACGTGTAGTAAAATGCCTCAGAAAATGCGTTTATTTAGGCACATGATATTAATCCTTTTAGTGTAGTATGCGCCGAAACTTACCTGCCCTAAAACTGCTCCTAAATATGCTCTCGAGGTTCTTTCAAAAGCTGCCTCGAAATCCACTGCTATAAACGGACCGAGTTCTCCTGTAGATTGATTTCGTTCATGACATCATATACAAGTCGACCATTCCCGCCGATAGATCTTTCCTTAAAGTAAGTTGATTGAGGTGGACTGGTATCTGATTAACACATTTCCCAATTGATTAACAACAGCTGTCGAGCTACCTTTGTGATCTATTTTCGGTAGAGAGACGGGGTGCCTGGTTACGTCCAACACTTGTCGAAGACTGGCTGCCTCTCCCATCAACCGTGGAGGGAGGGAGTCTCACCTGCGCCGGTGTACCAGACAACCTTGTCCCGCAGCGATCGGGCCCGAGCGCTCGCTCTCCGCAGCGCCGCTAAGAAGGTGTCCCTCTCCAGGAAGAAGTCGCCCTGCTTGACCCGCTCGATGATCCAGTCAGCCAGCCATGTCAGGTCACGGCGCAGTCCGTCTGCTGCGCCGTCGAGGTCAGCGTAACAGCGGCTGCAACCTGCGTGGACATCGTGCAGACGCCGTGGACAGTCTGGAGTCATCAAACAATGCCATTTAGCCAAGCAGGTCGTGACTCGTGGCTCGCAATCTCCATTGATGTCCCCCATCATCGTTTAGGTTACGCTATCCTAGTTGTGTACTGTCAGATTGCAGAAGTTTTGTCATGAACTATTGAGAGATGTTACCGTGGAACAGAAATTGTGCTTTTGCACTATTGGGGTTCAGATAACACAGCAGACCCTGTTATATGTGTTGGTTAGTGGACAAAGTGGTGATCATGAAATGATAAAATGGAAAAAAACGAACGAGACATCTTTATGAGTAATCAAAGAATCAAAGACAGAATATCTACACGGATAAATATAGAGGGGATGAATGTCGAGATAGATAAACAATGACAGAAGTGAATGCCAGGAAGGTCAATGTTGATGTCAGTGTCAGCGTCAACGTTGTCAGCGTTATAGTGTCAAAACTCGATTAGTAGGACATCAATATATAAACTGAGATAGATATAAATGTATCGGTATGAAAAATGTTTAACACAAAATATGGAGGGAATCATGATCATGAGCCATAAATATGGAAACAAAATGTATGAGACGGTAAATTGCTGACGGAAGAAATTTAATCAAGAATAACAACCAAGACCAAGACCAAGAGTCCATGTGAAGAATAGCAAGTGAACTGGGCTCGGCATAAAGGGCGACGTGGTTGCGTGAAATGGGTGAAACTTCCCCGTCCTCCTTGTTTCTAACAGAATAATTATGTTTGCCAAGAATTCTCTCTTTGCGTTACAATAATTGAGTAAGTTTTGATCCAAACACTGGCCCGATAAGATGCAAGCACCATCTAGTTATTCTTCTTTTTAAGGAAAGCTCAGCGCTACACCAGAATATAAAACATGTAAGTGTAATACTCCCACAACCCTTGTCTTTGGGTGGTGATGAACCACTTTCTCCACCGGGAGCACATTCCTTTAACACGCGCTCGGGTGGGGATCAAATTGACCCCCCAAAGGTTTTTCCGGAATGGTTTCCGAACGACGCGGCGTAGCCGCACCAAATTTTTCATAGCTGTGAAAAATTGAATAGCAACTCGTTTGGTGCCAAAAATTTAAATTTACCTTGTAAGGTCGCTGACCTATGGCAGGTCAAAGTCAGACTATGGTTTCAGTGAAGGCAATTTCTAGGGAATCCTTCAATCTGATCCAACAACGGAGTGTTAGACAAAGCCGTACATCCCTGAAATGCTTTCTTAGGCAACACAACAGTTGAATGATCAAGCTAAATTGACCTAAAGTCAGGCACGAAGATCACACCAAGGTCAAAACCAACCTGTTTTGTTACTCTAAGGCTTGCTGTATGGGATAGTTTCTGGTGCTCACTTCGAGTTTATTGATAGCAGGAACCGCATTATACATCTTCCATGGGCTTCTTAGAGGTCAGGATAGGCCATTGGTCTAAAATGACCCGGGTCAACGTTTTGTTTTAGGAACATACTGCCTAGCGTAATCTTTGTTGCTTAGTCAAATGCAAAACTCAAAGCAATCTTGTATCATTTTTGTCACTTTGGTCTTCAAAAAGCCAAGCAATGTCACTGACCTTGAAAGAGAATTTGAAATTTTGCTTAGAAACGGTTATCTAGATTCTGGAGACTGGCATTTTGGAGACCAACCTGGAACTTGACCTTGTTTGACCTTTTTTGACCCAAAAGTCACAACCTAGGAACCTGAAACTTTGACCTAGGTGATTTTATGTACAGGTCAACGCACCCTGTAAATTTGGTGTCTCTAGCTTCCTTAGTTCCCGAGATCTCAGGGGGTCAAATTGCCCCCCCCCCCCCACCCCCCACCCGAGGGAGAGATGCCTAGGCGGCCACCCGGGCGCGTGTTAATGATAATATGAAAGAGCATTTATTGTGACGTCAAAATTTTTTAAATAGGCCGGGTGCTACGCCTACCCGCATGGGTGTGAAGCTCTTACATGTCCGTCTCTCTATGGTAGCTGCGTTTGGGTCGGCTTTAACACGCGTCCGGGTGACCGGTCAGATACCCTTCGCTCGGGTGGGAAGTCAATTTGACCCCCCGAGATCTCGGCCACTAAGAGAGCTAGAGACACCAAATTTACAGGGTGTATTGACCTGTACGTAAACTCACTTAGGTCAAAGTTTGAGGTTAGTAGATTATGACTTTTGTGTCAAATGAGGTCAAACAAGGTCAAAGTTCACGTTATTTTCCAAAGGGACCCCAGAACCTAGCTAACTGCTTCTAAGCAAAAGGTCACATGTTCATGTAAGGTCAGTGACCTTTTTTTACCTTTTTAGGGTCATGGTGACCAAAATCATGCAAAAAATGTGAGTGCTGCATGTGAATAAGCGACAAGGATTACGCTAGTTAGTATGTCTCTAAAAACAAAATGCTGAGCTGGATCATTTTAGGTCAATGAACTGTTCTGATCTCTAAGAAGTCCATGGAAGATGTATAAT